TGGTGTAAGAGGACCACAAGGCTCTTGAAGTTGTAGCTCTGGAGCAATTCAAAAGATGAGTCTTCTGAAAGTTGTGTGCAAGGATAGTGACAATGATAAGGGGTTTGTTCCCAGCTGTTATGAGTAAGCCATGCACAGGTAAAGTGTAAGCCAATTGGTCCATTCCCCAGAGTTGGCTCTACGTATATCTCTAGGCTTTACAAAGATCAAAATGATCCCAAAAGCAAATACCCTCGATGGTCTAGAAAAATGATTTCATGGTGAGCACAGGCTTCTTATGATGCAAGTGGTGCTTCAGTGGAAATCAATAAACGAAGTTAAGGAAGGCGAAAAATGGCTGCTCAAGCATTGGCGATCACTCATCTTCAAGTTCGCAAGCCAAGTTATCCATGAAGGTAATCCTAATAAAACCGCATAAATGTAGATCATCGAATGCATGCTTCTTTTGAACAAATTAGAGTTTAGCTTTCCATAGAAGATTCATGGATGTAAAAAACAATTTATGTCCCCCTATCCAACTAGCAGATAGCAAGTGGAGAAGAAAGGTGGCCATTTGGGTCCAAGAAAGGCTCAGCCTACTACAAGATTGCTTGTAAACAATATGCATGCCCATAGACAGAAACGAAAGAATTAAAATGATTCAAGTAAAGGATCTAAAGCCATTTGATGACTAAGCGCATATGTTCATCGTAACAATAAGAAAAGATTTTTCACTATTCATCAGACATTTACATATATAGTACAAGATGTCGGAGAATAGAAGAAGAAGAAAGAATACTCTAGACTAGGCAGGTTTACAAGAGAGATCCACTTGGGGGCCTTTCAGGACAGTTCCCGTGAGGACCTTTCTAACTTACCAGTGGATGTCCTTCCTAGTTCAAAATATTATTCCTCTAATTTGACTCTCCAACCTCTCCAACCCTTTAGTTTTTATAGACCTTTGATTTATTCTTCTTTCTCTCTCAAGTTAACTTTATCTTCTTCTTTTTTTTAATTTTTTTTATTTTTACTCCCGGAGTGGTTATAAGGCTAGAGGAGCCATATTTGTTACTCGTGACAAGGATAGAACAAGTCTTAGGCGGTGAAAGCAGAAGTCCACGAGGCAGATATGGAGTGGGTTAGAGATTGTGCGCAGTGATGGCGATGACTTCAAAGGGTGGATATTGTTTGAACTGTCATTGGCGTAGTAATTGTGCCTTATAAATGATTGAATCCAAAAAGAGTCCTCATCAAAACTCAAGGATCATCAAAGAGGAACTACATTAAACAACCGGGAATGATTTTAAGTTAAGAGAAGTATTCGACTCCAAGAAAAGAAGTGTTTTATAATAAAACAAGAGTTCTTGGTGGCTTAGATAGAGATTTGACTACCCTTTTTGTGATCTGATACATCTATCAAGAATAATGATACCATATCTAGTTATAAATGTGAATTGCAGATCCTTTCAGCATAGCATTTGTTTTTTCAGGATAATAGATTTTATTTTTGTAGCAAGCATGATTTGTGGATCCTTCCAACATGATCCATAAATGGTACCCTAGCTGTTTGCCACTCCCATATTTTATCTGTGTGGTCCTTCAATCTTTTATGCTATTGTTGTTTTCTAATGAGTTTAGAGTATATTTACTACATAATTCATAGGTAGCATTGGTCACATGAAGATTGCTAGAAATTGTACTTTGGGGAAATATATTATTATAAATAATGGATTTCTAAAGCAAGTAGCAATAGTTTACCAACAATAATTTTATGAAAATTATGTCCTTTGTTTGCTTGAGTGATGGTTGAATTGGTTCTTTCTAGCATGGTGAGTGACTACCAAATTTTTTAGAAAGTCGTCTCATGGTACTAACATAGGACCTAACTTTTCAATTTAGGTGAATTTTGTTGCGCCTGTTGAAGAGGGACCAGCTGTTACACCGATCCATAAGAGACCGGCCCAGTCAAGCCGCCTGGCTGCCTGGGAAGATTCCAGACCCAAAGTGGGGCCTGTCAAGCCAATAATTATGTACGTGAGCAAAGGAATTGAGTGATTTGGGAGGAAGTTTGAATGTATTTGGGGGGGAGGTTTGAAGGTGTTTTGGGAGTGTTTTATTAGGGCTAGTCACCTAAGGTTTGGTGCGTGGCTTGTTTTCCAGCAATTTTCTCTTTTGTTTTTTTGCTCCTAGCGGTGTCCAAGGTTTTTAGAGATCCGATTGACTTCTCAAATTATAGATCACCATTGTATCTTATTTGTTTGCTTGGATATTAATAAAATTAGACCGAATATGAGTTTTCACACTTTTCTCCCAATTTCTTTGTTGTTTTGACGCTGGAGTTTATCAAATTCTTTCATTATTTATTAGTTTGTTTTATAAATTTGTTGCAATTTGTTTGTTGCTTTGCTTGTGTAATTGAATGTCAAATTTTTTGCAGTTTTTTTATTATTACGGGGCAAGTTTTGATTGAAACATGATATTTTATAATCTTAAACTTCTACAAAATAACTTGCATAGATTTTGCTTGTCTCGAGTTTTATGAAATTAATTGGAAGTCTATAAACTGCAAATCTTGAGCTTGCATGCTTGAATCCCTACAATATATCATTTAGTTGTATTACTAAATTCTAGGCCCAAAGATATCCAACATCAAGTGAACACAATAAAATATAAAACAAAATTCATCTAACTAGATGTTCATCCCATGAAATACTTCAAAGTCACCAATATTTTGATAGCTTGGCAAGGATATATAATGCACATGGATTATCATTAGAAGTTTATGACTAATTGCCAAAAAAAGAGAAGGTATAAGGCAAGGAATTTAATATAACATAACATAGCGTCAAAGCACCATGACACGGGAGACAAAAAACATAATCTCGATAAAAATCTATTTTTAATATTTTGAGGATAAAAAAATATTAAAACAATTAAAATAGGACTATAAAAATTAATAAACATGAAAATAAAAAATAATGTTAATTTATCATAATGGAAGCATAAGATATATATGGTGCAATTTAAGATAGTTCAAAACCATATTTCATACAAACTCCAATTTCCAATCATAGAAAAAATAAAACAAAGCAAATTAAAGCATAGTCAAACAACCAAACCAATTAATTATTCACTCCTTAAACCATTCACTTTCAATGTATCCTCCAATTAAGGCATTCAGAAAGGATATAAATAAGAATTAAGGAATTGTAAATTTAGTTTTAGGAACAAACTTCAATAATATATGTCATCGTTCATTAGTATTGCACCAAGCAGCCAACAAAAGGCAAATAGATCCATGGATGATTGGCTTGTCGATCGACAATCAATGGAGAGAAAAACAAATGGGTGACAACTTCAACAAAGAGGAGCCCATAAATGATGGTGTCAATTATCATTGAAGAGGAAAACCCATTAATGATAGGTTCAATTACGGATGAAATGAAGACCCATTAATGTTAACTAAGAAAAGCAATAGAGAGAGTTGTGTAGAGAATCAACAAAGAAGATGGCTTAAATTTTGTGTTAAGGAATAAAAAGTACATAGGGATAAAAGGGAGATGATTGGGTCCTTTTAATTTATTATTCTGTGTGTAAAGCAAGCATAATCAGGAAACCAAATAGCTAGGATAAGTTATAATAAAGTTTGGGTTTATTTATTTGATCTTAACCCTGATAAGCTTAATTTGTTTAGCCACAAGTCTAGGTGTTTCTCTTTCTTTTAAAAGAAAAGGACAAAACATGATTACTAGCATCACACTCAAGCCTCTACAAAAAAGTATAATTTACCAAATCTCAATTATCGTTGTAATGTATTCAAGTGAATTAAAGAGTTTATCCATTTATATTGAGGAAATTTAATCTGACATTCATCATCACTCATTGCTCAAAAATAATTCAACTATAAATTATTACCAAATTATTATCCACTCTTTCAAGAGTCAAATTAACTTCCTTACTAACCCTCCTAAAATAAATTTATTGCTTCCTTAAAAAAACAAGATCCTTTTAATTCAATCAAATTTCAACCACATCCTTCATGATAAATTCCAAATCCATAGCCCCAGCAAAAGATTTCTCATCCCTTTTTTTAATAATGGAATGCCATCACTTAAGCAACATCAACACTCATGCTTCATGAATAATGCACATGAAGCTTGTTAATAATTAATATATAGTTCAGCAAAGGTGTTATGTTGGTGCCTAGCCTAAGAGCAATTTTTTCTTTGTATGTCTAAGAGCGATTTAGTCTTTCACTATTATTATTATTGTGGGGTATAAATAAGTTTATTATATTAAGGTTAGGTTTAGGCATGAGATTTTTGCTGTGAGTCTTCGGTTTATGGTTTGGGAGAATTCCTACCTTTCGAATTGTAGGAATTGGGAGAGATTGCCTACTTCTCGAATTGTAGGCGCTTATCTTTTGTATTCTAGTGAGCTATTAGTGTTGCATTGCTTTGATTTGGTGTTAGGGAAACAAAATTAGATTTGTCCTAATCTATGCAGAAAAGCGTGTTAATTTTAAATCGTAACAAAAGCCTTCCATAATTATAATAAAAATTGAAAGGTGTTTCCACTGTCTTTGTCAAAAATATATTAAAGATTAAAAGATGCACGAGTAATGTAATTGGTAGAGCATCCAGCTCTCGCCAAAAGATTGTAACTTGATCTTAAATTCCACAACTTTGTCTCAATTCGTTCAAGCTTCCATGCTATAGAAAACAAATTTTAAAGTGGAATTATACATATGCCATAATTCTAATATAGAAAACTTATGTCTAATTCCATGCCATAGAAAACAAATTTTAAAGTGGAATTATAAAAGTAGCATATGCCATAATTCTAATATAGAAAACTTATGTCTATTATACAAACTACAGAATTCAATAACATTTTCAATTTTTACAAAACATTCTTTATCCATGATCATTGTCAGTTTTGCTTTTGTTCGATTTGGTTTCATTCTCTTACAAAGTCTCTAAAAATACATAATAAGAAATACGAATAACAACAGGAATTACCGGAATAATAAAAGCTAGGGTTTTTCCAGACCCGGTCTTAGCAGCGCCGAGGATATCCCGTCCACAAAGTGAATGAGGCAGTGAGGCCCGTTGGATCTCACTCATCTCCATGTACTTCGGCGCAAGTCCTTCCTTGGTCTTCCGAGAGATGGGGAGTTGCCGAAAGAGCTTGCACCCTGCGTATGGGGTGAAAACGCCGTCCGCCATCCTTCCAACAGGCGCCGTCGGCAGCGGCGGCGGGATTGCAAGCGGATTGGTCCCGGGGTCGGGCTTCCGTGCGTCGATCCATTGCTCGAGGAGTTTGATCTCCTGCGACTCTGAGAGGCGCTGGCGCCGGCGGCAT